CGTATTCGTCCCGGAGATGAATGGAAGAAGGCTTTTAAGACTCCACAGGGATTGTTTGAGTGGAAAGTAATGCCATTTGGCTTGTGTAATGCGCCCTCTACCTTCTTGCGAATGATGAATGAGGTGTTGAAACCGTTTTTGGGCAAGTTTTGTATCATCTACTTTGACGATATTTTAGTATACAGCAACACTTGGCAGCAACATTTGGAGCATTTGGCCATCTTATTCAGAACTTTACAAGACCAAAAGCTCATTATAAACACTCTCAAATGGTAAATGGGGTAGTGGAAGGCGTATCTGGTTGTTAGGCCGGTATGCCGTCCTGTAGGTACAGTATAAGATGTGCTGCATCAAGGCGTACTAAACATCGAGAGATAAATCGATTTACATTGCTAATCACTGTATATCTTACTTATACTACTGCAATCATCACTACGTATTGTGCAACACTTAAAAATTTTAGGGCTGAGGTGGACAGCTTTACACGTGTAACGGCCTTGTATGCTGATTTGTCCATTATGCTGACGTGGCGCCATGACAAAATATTTATCCTTTATGAAAAGGACGTATGAAAAGCTTTTGTGCTACATTGAAAAGTACTTATAAAAAAGCATAAAAATCGAATGTCTTAAAAAAATAATAATTTAAAATATTTTTAATACTATAAAATATGGCTTTGAGAGCATCAGAGCCAAGCTTGTGCTTAGTGTGAGAAGGTGAAAGGGGGATAGCATTGGCACCCAAACACCTTGAGATGTTTATAGTTGGCCGGAAGTTATGATAGAGCCGCACATAAGGATAGAGCTTATGAGTGGTTATGATAACCCGCATTTTTTTTAAAAGAGTTATTTTTAATCTATAGCAGTTAAAATTTATTTTAGGAGCCATTATAAGTTCATATTACAAATAGTCTTTGTCATAGCATAGATATTATTGTGTTTTAGTTTAATTATTTTTTTCATAAATTTTTAGCACTGGCACAATTCATTAAGAAATTGGTACTTATTTGTACAAGTGGAAATTTTTGGACTGTTAGGCGTCTATTTTACAAACCGATTTTACCAGAGTGTTTTAAGCTTTGGAAATACCACCGGAGTGAAGGTAAACCACGGTGTGTAAAGGATTTAAGCTCGGGAAATACCACCGGAGACGAACCCCCAGAAAGTTCCTCAAGAAAGGAATGAGAAGACGAGTTACAATCTAAAAAACTAGGATCCTTCACGCGATTAACCCCTATTTCAATTGAAGATCGATCGGAGATGGACAATCGCAAAGAGAGACAGAACACCAAAAGCAATTATAAGGAGAATCAAAGTAAAATAAAGAAAAACACAACCCAAACACCACAGGCCAGAAAGAAGATCAGGCGCCGCCAGAGGCAAAACCCTAGCAGAGCACCAGTCCCTCTCACTCATTTGAAAATTTGTGTTATACAATGTTTTTAGCTCATTATATGTGGCTCAAATAATTTTAAGTTAGGACAGAGGATCAAATATGTGAAATTGACCATATTAGTTTTCTTTAGGTTTAATTTTAGTTTATTTCTTTAGCTATTATTTTGTACTTAGGATTGGTGGTGATATATTGTAATTTTAAGGTTCTCAAGTATTGCATATGATTTTTGAGTAAGAATACATATGTATTTTGATATTTTGATTACTAGTTTGGTTTCAACTGGTATTATATTTACGTTTTAATCGATAGCTTTATTTTCACTAGTATTATATTTATAAAAGAGAAATAGATAGCTCTGGAGTTGATTTAAAAAAAAAAAATTCTTTCAAATTTAATCTTGAGACATTTCAAGCATAATCTCATTATGGAAACATAGAGAGAGCTGAATTTATAGCTCCTAATTAATAATACTAATAAATTATTATATTTTAATATTGCAAGACACTAATTTTTTAGATTAGCATTCAAATTTTTTTGATAGGCACTAACTGTGGAAAATTTATATCGAGGTATTCTAATCTATAAAATATACCATGTTTTAAAATTTTTTTAGTAAAACAAAATTATTTGCTATAATTTCTATAATCTTTAAATTTTCAAATGAGATTTTCTCTAAAATTTTCTTTTATTTTTATAAATATTCTGTACTTTATTAAAATATTTTTTTAAATACTACGTTTCTATTTTTGAAATATTTTTATTAAAATAATTGATACGATTATATTGATTGAAGATGATAGAATAATTATTTAAAAAAAATCATAATAATATACAATTACTCAATTAAAATATTTTATATTCATCTTAAAATAAATTCAACATATTTAAATCCTTTGTAATTAAAAATTTAATTTCTTTTAATTGAATTTGCGGAAGTTGATACATTTCTTACTTTATTATTATTTTTTTAATTATGCTAATGACACCTCTACAATAGGAGCTAATAAAAAAATAAATTCACGTTATTTTCAAATGTTTCTTTCTTGTTCTACGAAAGAATGACATCTCAACACTCTTTAATTAGAATTAAAATAATTATTAAGCCTTAATATACTTAGGCTTTGTTTGGGATGGCTTTTGTACTGCTTCATAAAGCAATTTTTTAGTATAAAAATTTTAATTTTTGTACTAAAAAATAACTTTAAGAGGCAATAATAAAGTCGTCCCAATATATATAATTAGGGTCTATTTGAGACGGGTTTTTCACAATTTTATTTTTAGATCTCAATTATAATCTTTTTTACTATTTCTTTCTCACAACTTTCAAAAAATCTATGTACACAAAGCAACTCTTTATAATATTAAAAAATATATATTTTCCTCACAATAATTTTGCAGCCACTTTCATGAAAAATTGTAGATGTCTCAGAAGGACTCTTATGCTTCATTTGAGATGGCTTTCTTATTACTGCTTAAAATAATTTTTTAGTACAAATTAAATTTTTATACTAAAAATTTATTTTAAGAATCTATTAGAAAGTCGTCTCAAATGAAACATTAGGCTTTATTTAGAACAACTTTTTTATTGCTTTCAAAAACATTTTTATTGAGCTGTTCTAAAATCTAGATATAACTGTTTCCGAATCAAAACTTTAATAAAAATAATAATAATAATAATAGAGATAGAGAATTAGCTTAATTCATCTGCATTGGTGGAGGAAGAATTATTAGACGACATTATGGTCATCACCTATTGGTTGAAAATGCTGTTCGCTGCAATGCTTCATGCAGCTGGAAATTAATAATTTGTTCTGGATCCGACGTGGATTCGAGACATATTCCTGAAAAAAATTTGGGTTTCAGACAGCATGAAAAAACTGTCACATGTGGATTAATTGTCTTGTGGAGCACCAAAACTATCGTGATCCTTCCGCTAACATTTTAGATAATAAAACCCGTAAAAATTTGCAAATTAGTATCCAAACCTTGAGGTGAAATTTTTGTTGCATCAGAAGTTTTTCTTATCTTTGCACTAATTAAATTTGTATTATCAATTTGTGAAATGTTGGTGAGATGCAATGCAATAAAAGTTTCTAGTTCAATGATATGATTATATGAAATATATAAATGAGAATATTGCAATACAAAAGAAGCATGCCACATTTCACCAATAAAAATAAAATATAGAGTTAAAAAATTCTAATTTATTATATTTATTAATTTTGAAATGTATTAAAAATTTCAAATGATATAATATTTAAATTGAAGGCTTATACAATTAAATTCAAGTTCATCTTAATTTTGATTTTATGAAATATATAGATGAATTGAACGTCTCGACGAGACAACCCCATCAAATAAAAAATGATATGATCTAAGTGGAAGTGAACCCAAACCAAATAATTGAAGTATACTTTGAAAATTTTTAGAATCGATTGAACGATCAAATAGCCTTCAAAATCGAGCATCCCTATAAGATGAATTCAACAAGTCATTATTTGATTTTGACGTTATCAAATCATTCAAATACTAAATAAACAATCATATACTCAAAGGGATAAATATGGGTAGTTCGATAAAATATTTTGAATTCTAACCAAATTTAATGAAATACCCCCTCTCAAAGATGAAATTATTCTGTGCGGATTCCGAACACCATCTAGAGATCAATCAGAATGTGTCAAGTCACCCCCGCTCTATACCGCAGTCATTATCGCTATCGGTACTGCTGACGTGGCACATTTTTGTTGACCTCCGAATGGAGTTCTGCATTTAGTCTCCGCACAGAATAATTTCTATCTCAACAGCTTCAAACCCTATAATTTTTCTCATTCTTGGATTTTTCTCATAAAAATTTCTGATTTCTTACGACTTCTATCTTTACAAAATTAAGACATCAAATACAAATTCTACCCCCATTAAAAAAAAATTATACATGTGCAAAATACAAATTCTCCTTTCTTTATTTATTATTTCAATATTTTGAGCCGAGTACGATGGACCAAGATTTCAATTTTGCCTATGTTCAGCTTATTAAAAAATAAGCTCTCTTACTTCACAAATCAATTCAGCTTTAGCTTTTCAACAAATTTACCGATACTGAAAGCAAAAGCCGAAATTGCTCCGCCAACTCACGAGCTGCATATCTTATAAGAAAAAAAAAATCAATGATTTCATTGGACGTGAACTCCAGATCTAAAAGAACAAACTATTCTATATTCACCCGCTACTGTGTCATAAATTATTATTTTTATAATATAAGAGATAATATTTATTTATTACTTCAGCTTAATATTTTAATGCAAAAAAATAATTAAATTAGGAAATTTTAAAATTATTTAAATTTTTTAATATTTATTTAAAACGTTTATTGAAAAATAAATAAATTAGCTTTTTTTTTTCAAAAACAAATTACCTTTAAATGGTTTATATTTGGATGCCTTCCTGTCGTTTTTCAATAATATTATTTTTCATAGAAAATAATCCCAACTCCAGCCATTCTTCCATGATCCGGCAGAACACCACAACTCAATGAACAATTTTGAGAATAAATTACCAAATTATCCAACCCACCTTCCTCCTTCCAGCTCCATAATTCCTGGAACTCTTTCTACCCCTCTTCCAATCAATATCAACAAATTAACTCTCATCTTCTTCTTCTTCCTCCTCTTCTTCTTCTTCCATTTATGTATTCACATTCACCTTCATTAACCATGATCAAAAATACATTATAAATATCCACCCTTGACCCTTCCCTCAACTCCCTCCTCTTCATAATTATGAAGACCCACGATCTCGAGTCCTCCTCCAACTCCCCCCTCCTTCCTCCGCCACCGCCACCTCCTCACCACCGCCGTCGCTACCTCCTAATTCTCCTCCCCCTCGCCACCATCCTCACCTTCATCGCCGTCCTCTGCCGGACCCCCACCTCCTCCCTTACCGTCTCAACTCCAATCTCCCGAGGACCCGTCGCCGGCGTCTCAGAGAAATCCACTTCCCAACTTCTTGCGTCCTCCACCGCCTACCCATGGACCAACAACATGCTTGCCTTCCAACGCACCGCCTTCCATTTCCAGCCCCAAAAGAACTGGATGAATGGTACTCTTCTCCTCGCTTTCTCCCCTTATAATTTCTTCAGCCGTGCTTAATTAATAATTTCATCAGTCTCTCATCATTCATTTCAAATTATTAATAGTTTTATTTCTTTTGTCCAATTGTTTCAATCTCCTCTCCTCTGCTCTCCTCTGCTCCGCTCCAGATCCTAACGGTAAGCAGCTAATCGCAATCCATCTCCACTCGTTCGACGAAATGCCATTCACAAAAAACCATATAACGGCTTTGCTCAATTTTACAGGTCCGCTGTTCTACAAAGGTTGGTACCATCTCTTCTACCAGTACAACCCAGACAACGCTATATGGGGAAATATTACGTGGGGCCACGCCGTCTCCAAGGACCTAATCAACTGGCTCCACCTGCCCATCGCAATGGAACCCGACCGCTGGTACGATATCAACGGCGTCTGGTCCGGTTCCGCCACTCTCCTCCACGACGGCCGGCTCGTCATGCTCTACACCGGTTCAACCCACACCTCCGTCCAAGTCCAAAACCTTGCTCACCCAGCTGACCCGACCGACCCGCTTTTGATCCATTGGGTTAAGTCTGATGCCCACAACCCGGTAATTGTTCCGCCAAAGGGAATCAATTTTAAGGACTTCCGTGACCCGACCACAGCTTGGTATAATTCCGAATTGGGCTTGTGGTACTTGGCCATCGGGTCGAAGAACGATAGCGCGGATCACGCAGGCACCGCATTCGTTTATTCGACCCGTGACTTCGTCCACTACGAGCTGGTGCCCGGGTTGCTGCGGTTTGTGGTTGGGACCGGTATGTGGGAGTGTCTGGATTTTTACCCGATTCACATCGAGGAGGCAGTGGGACTCGACACATCAGTCAGGCCGGGAAAGAGTGTACGACATGTGATGAAGGTTAGCCTCGACAATGATAAGCATGATTATTATGCGATCGGTCGATACTTCCAAGAGAACAACTCGTGGGTACCCGATGACCCGGAGCTTGACGTTGGGATTGGGCTACGAGTTGATTATGGTAAATATTATGCTTCCAAGACGTTTTATGATCAGGATAAGGGGAGACGAGTCTTATGGGGTTGGACCGGTGAGACCGATAGCGAGCGGGCCGACTTGCTCAAGGGTTGGGCTTCTATTCAGGTACCTAACATATTCTTCTTCTGTTTAAAATAATCAAGATATTGATTAAACTGTACTTCGTAGAGTTGGAAAAAAAAATGATTTTTATAATTAATAAAATTTTCTTTAAAATATAATTAAGGATAATTTTGCTTGCCATTAGTGGATAAAACTAAGACTTAATTAATTGTTTGGGAACTAAATAAATATTCTTCCGCATTAATTTATTTTGGTCCCGGTAGCTGAGATGGTCGGTTGCCTACCAATTAGGGTCGCAGATCTTATGTTAAGACTGTTATTAATTATTATTATTTTGGCGATTAGCTTTTTTTGCTTACTTTTGCACGTTTTGTTTAGCCAAAGAAAAAAAATATGTTTTGAAGATAAAATAGGAGGTTGAGTAGTACTATGATAGGGAAAAATGGTGACCTGTATGTTTCGGTGACTGACTCGATTATCAGCGCGAGAAACACAAAGTCGGCTTTCTTATTACTTCTTAAAGTAATTTTTTAGTATAAAATTTTTAATTTTTGTACTAGAAGCTACTTTAAGAAGCACTAAGAAAGACGTCCCAAATGAACCGTAAAGCTTTATTTAGGACGGCTTTTTTTATTCATTTTAATAAAAAAATAATTTTTTAAAAAAATAAAAATTTACTTTAAAAAGCATTTAAAAATTTTAAAATTTGATATAATAATTTTTCATCATCGTAATATTCTCATATAAATTATTGTACTTTATTCATTTAGATCTTTCTTTAAGGCTCATTATTAAATTTCTTAAAAATCTTTTATTTCATTTAGAATCTTTCTTTAGGAAAACTTTTTTACTATTTTTCAAAATAATATTATAGAATAAAAATTTATAATACAAAATGTTTTTAACTAAAAATCTATTTTAGAAAGAAATAAAAAAGCTATTACAAACATATTTAAAATAAATAAATATATTTATTTTAACATAAATATATTCAAATTTCAGTGTTGTTTTGTAATACAAAACAATGATCTTATGATCCCTATACTAATTAGTAATTATAACTCTTTTTATTGATCAATTATTTTTGGCATAAATTTACATCTCAATCCTTTTCAAATGTTTATAACCACATTAATTATGAAATAGCGATGCTTAATTAACCTATTACCTACCCTGCTAAGCACAATTAATTATAAAATCCCAAAGCTACTGATGAATTTTTTCATACAAATTAAATAATTGATGAGCGTTTGGCAGACAATTCCAAGGACTGTGCTATTCGATACAAAGACTGGTAAGAACCTTCTGCTATGGCCTGTGGAAGAGGTGAACAGCCTCAGATTCAGCAGCAAGAATTTCTCCAGCCTGCAACTCACCGCCGGCTCAGTGAAACCCCTCCAGATCGCCGGCGCCGCCACCCAGGTACTTCCACCGCCGGCCTCCCTCCTCAAAATATTTTAAAAAAGTCAATTTATTATGATCATATTAAATGCCAAATTAATTGTGCATAACAACCATCCAACTTGCCGACAACACCGAATTTTTTTTGGTCAAGTGTTAGGTTTCTTCACATTGGAAAATTATTAGGTGCAAAGACTGGACGTCAAAATACGTCAGGACATTCACTTAAATTTGACACGTGCAGTGTACTTTGGTTGTACTTTTGTGTGTGTTTTACACTTTTACTTGCATTTTATCTTCGTTTTACCTGCGCTTTAATTGTTCCTTTGTTGCGCTTTTTTACTGCGGTTCGACTATGCTTTATTTGCGCTTTACCTGCATTTTACTGGTGTTTTGACTACTCTTTTGGTGCGTTTGGCTAAAGTTTCGCGGACACATTAAATATATAAAGTAAAAAATAAATCCAATTAAATATCCACATGTCAACATTTTATTGGAGTCCGGACGTACCTCTACATCCGGTCTCCGCACTTAATAATATCTCCTTCAAATGTCATAAAAATGTGGTTTTTTTCATAAATTTATGTAAATTAAGTTCCATGTGAATTTAATATTTTTTTGAAATAAATATAATAAAAATTTCTTATATATATTATAAATATAACGTCATTATTTTTTAATAAAATATATATTTTTACCTATTAATAATTTCTCCTCAATAATGATAGTCCCATTCCCATTGGCATTTATTAAAAAAAAAATGGCTAAAAGGATTGATTTTTATGAATTAACTCTTCGTTGAATTCTACGATGATCAGTTGGACATAACGGCCGAATTTGAGATCGATGGATCATCGCTGGAAGCAGCGATAGAAGCCGACGTGGGCTACAACTGCAGCACGAGCGGTGGCGCCGCCGGCCGGAGTGCGCTCGGGCCGTTCGGGCTTCTGGTCTTAGCCGATTCTGATCGAACTGAACAAACTGCTGTGTATTTCTACGTGGCACGAGGAACTGATGGCCTTCTCAAGACTTATTTCTGCCATGACGAGCTCAGGCATGCTAAATAATTTTCCTGCTTTTCACATTTTCTTGGTTGATTATGACGAAATTATACAAATTAATTAATCGACTGAATATTTTATTGCAGGTCTTCAAAGGCCAACGACATCGTCAAGAGAATATATGGTAGCACAGTTCCTGTACTCGACGGAGAAATCTTGTCTGTTAGAATACTGGTATTTTTTTTAATTCCTCCTTATTGTTTCAATTTTTATCTTTTAATAATTAATAAGTTATATCAACTATTTGATTTTTTTTTCTGTTCTAACCAAGATTTTTTAGGTCTATCTCTATCTTTCGTAATATAAGTCAAATCTAATGCATCTACTTTTCTAACCGGGTCATCGGAACGTTGTCGGATTATTTGACCAAACCATCTAAGACGACTCTCTCTAATCTTATCTTCCACAAGAGCTACTCCAACCTTTTACCCTTAGAGATAAAGCCACTCATCCACCTCAGCATCCTCATCTCTGCAACACTTAACTTAATATTATGCTTCTCTTTTAATAACCATCATTCTACACCAGAGAGCTTTGTAGGTCTTACCACCATCTTATATATAAAATTCTCCCTTAAGTTTGATGGGGACTGTTCTATAACACAACAAATCCGATGCATTTCTCCACTTCAACCATTCAACTTGAATTCTACTGATAATATACCCATCTATTTCACCATCACTTTGAACAATAGATCCAAGATACCTAAAACATATACTATTATTAATGACTTGGTCACCCAAAGTCACAATCCCCCAACTAGATCCATTACTACTAAAATTACACTCCATTTGTTCAGTTTTAGATCTATTTCATGTCATGCATATAAACAACATTATTAATTGTTCAAAATTGTCGTAGAGAATTTGAAGATCGTAGCTAATAGCAATCATGTTGATAATTAAGTTTCACTTTATTAGAAAACTTTAATTAAAACTTAATTATGATGATCTAAAAACCATTAAATTTGAGTACCCCAAATGCTTTTTCAGCATCTAATTATTGCAATATTCAATCATGATGCAAGCAAACCTCTGGATGGTTCCAGAAGTATGAACTAATTAAAGTTGTTAATTATTAATGCTACATAATTATTGATAATCATATAGATCTAATAACAAGTATAATAATTACTATGTGGGTTCCAGGTTGATCACTCCATTGTCGAGAGCTTTGCTCAAGGAGGAAGAACCTGCATCACCTCTAGGGTTTACCCAACTGCAGCGATCGACGGTGCAGCCAAGCTTTTTCTCTTCAACAATGCTACAGACGCAACTATCACAGCCAAATCACTTACCGTGTGGAAGATGGGACCAGCTTTGATGCGCCCATTTGATATGTAGAGCTACATGCATATACAATAAATCCATTATATTTGAGTGTAGATAAATATTTTTCCATTGATATGTTGGTGAGGATGTTGTATATCATTCGTGCATGCATGTTTGTATTTTGAAGAATGAATAAGATATTTTTGGAAGCCTTTTTTTTTTTGGTTGGGGGTGAGTGGGCGGGGAATTCATGGCGGGGCCTACGCATTAATCATGATAAAAAGTACATGTCGTTAGAAGATCAGAAACTTACTTTTGTGATGCCAATCATGATTAATAGAGGAAACGAAAAAGCAAAACAAAGCAAAGACAAAAGTTAAAAAGTAAAGAAGGAAACCGGAATTGCATCAACGACAACAAACATAGCAACACCCAAATGAACGGTCAAACAATACAACGAGCAGCATCCCAACGAAAAGTCTCCACCAAGAGCAACCGAAGTTACCCGAAAATAAGACCAAGGGAAAGAAAAACCTGCAAGGAACGCAAAACAGAAACGAAAAGAGAATGGGAGATCATCACCACCCCCACAACCAACTCCAAAACCCACCAAAAAACGACCAACAAAACACAACCAGCACAGATATCAATGGATGCTTATGATCAGGGCCGTCAAAATTGGGTTTCGAGTTGGATTCGGGACAAACCTGAAACTGATGCGAAACTATTTGACATGACCCAAAAATCCGACTTGAACCCGATTTGAAAGCTAGATATAATTGTTTCTGAACTCAAAACTAAAAAAAAAAAAAAATAAATAAAGAGAATTAACTCAATTCATCTGCATTGGTGGGCTTTGATTCTTAGTAGATTATTGGCATGTGGATTGCATGATTGAAAGCTGGATTGTCAATCATGAATCTCTCTATTGCCTAATGTATATAGTGATGCCAATCATGAAATTTAATATCCTTTTGTCGGTGCCTCAAATGCATGCATGCGCGGTGTAAAGTGCACTTAAATAATTGCTCTGAGGGTTTTCTTTTTTCAGTCTCTATATATTAAGTAACATTGATTCACATATATATGACACAAATAATTATGAATTCTTATACTGCATTATAATTATTAAATAAAAAATTATAAGCTTTGCATTCTATTTTATATTTTCTGATAATATTGTGTTACAATTAATTAATGCATAAGCATTGATTAGTATTGTAATGATCTTGCATCAGTCTTCATTATATTAGAAAAGAAACAATTCCATTGCTAATTAATACGATTGTATGAGAAATATTTTAAAGATAAATAGCTTATGGATGCACTATTAAGGAATTTTGTGATACAATTTATTTTAGGAATTATATATAGCTCAAATGAAAGTTGTTAGAAAATCATATTAAATAAATTGAAATCCAGTTTCTATTATTAAGAATCAGATTTCCCATAGTAAGCCAATTCAAATCATGTTTCAATGATCCAACAATTATCTCCCCACATCAACTTTTTTGCTAATTTAAAATTCTTTTTTTTTTTGTATAAAATTTTCAATTCAAATAATTAAAAAAAAAATTATTTTAGGAAGCAGAAAAGAAACGGTCCCAAACGAAGCCTAAATAACAACAAAGCTTAGTATTATGAATTATATATACTTATAGTTGTTTAGTAATATAGTTAATGAAGTAGTTGATTAGAAAAGTTAAAATTCATAAAAATATGCCTCCTTATAGGAGAAAGATTATGTTTAGAAAAAAAAATTGCTTAAATATTTCCCGGCGCTTAGGACGAGCCCAAGATGAATTGATGGGCTGGACCTAGCGTAAAACAACGATAAAGGCCTATTAAAGGCCTTGTTTTATTGGGCCTACAATTTAAGTTGCATATTCAATTTACCATTCATAATTGTTTTAAGCGCATACTCAACCTGTTGAATTTAACCAAAGTTATTAATCTAAAACATTATCGTAATTCTACTATGACATGCTAAGTGTTGTCTTCATAGTCATTTGAGAAAGCCCATTGGTGTTGCTAAAAATGGTTTGTTTGGATGAAAATAATCATATAATAAGGTGTTTTGAAGGTCAAAAGATTTAAAAATATGCAAAAGTGAAGGGAAATCTATTCATATCATTTAATGAAGTGTTTATAATGGGGTTATAAATGAGTCAAGTCAGTTCAAATTAGATTCACTACTGATCTTGCTAATCAAGTTTAACAAGCGATAAGCTTAATCTCATACTCAAATTACAGCTCGTATTATATACAATTTTGAGTTCCTGCATAACTCAGCTATGCTCGTTGGTTCATGAGCCAACTAGATTAAATCTCGTTTTCCCCCAATTTTATGCTATATCCTTTATGTGTCAACTCAATTTGGACTTTAGGGCAATCCATAGTTTGCACTGTTGTGACTTCCTCAAACAACTTCTTTCTTATGAGTTTTGCAACCACGTTATAAGAGAAATAATGTCATCTGTAATTAATTCTGTATTAAATGAGCTGTCATTCTTTCATTGGTATTTATGTAATTACTTGTCTAGCTATTCTATATATAGAGCCTATTTGTAAATTGTAGACACATAATAAAATAATTCCTTTCTCTTATCTTCTTCCTGTTTGTGTCTTCTCCGCCTGTCACGGTTCTTCATGGTATCAGAGCCGGACGAACATGGCCAACTCTGAAAATTCGCAAAACAGCACGCAAACTATCTCGGAGCAGCAAGAGGAGATTCAGATCTCTTCATCTCTCAAGTTCTTGGTGTCCAACATCAAGAACATAGCTCCGATCCAACTCGCAGCGGACAACTATGTCGTCTGGAGATCTCAGATTCTGAAGCTTTTTCGGGCTCAAGGTTTTCACACCTTTCTTGATCCTTCAATCGCTCCTCCCGAACGCAATATTCCTCACAATAACGGAACAACGTACTCTTCCAAATCCTCTATTCGAGAAATGAAAATTTTTCGATCACATTCTTGCCGCATCTCTCTGTTCCACCATTTCCATCTCTATTCTACCTTATGTAGTTGATCTTGAATCAACAGCTGCCATTTGGACTGTTCTTGAAACAAGATTTCAATCCTCTAACAGATCCAAAGTTATCCAACTCAAAAACTCTCTCCATAACATCTCCCTTAAAAATCTCACAATGACACAATATCTATCTGATATCAAAGTCATAGTTGATCAGATAGCCGCTGCCGGGTCTTCGGTTGATACAGAGGACATAATCCATTACATCTTGAATAGACTACCAGGATCTTATCAATCGTTCAAAACGGTTATTAGAACCATGCTCACTCCTATAAGCCTTGATCAACTATACCCACTGCTCTTAAGTGAAGAAATCAATCTCAGCTCAGACGCTTCCAAGAACTTTGTTCTTCCCGATCCCTCCTTAACTCTCTATGCTCCGCGCGGTCGATTCCGTCGCAATCGCGGACGAAGTACCAGCGGCAAACAATCTCAACAGCAGAATCCTGCATCTCAAACCGTCAGTTGCCGGATTTGTCTCAAAAGAGGACATTCAGCATCTTCTTGCTGGCATCGTCTCAACCCACAATATGTTCCATCATCTTCAAATACCACAACTAAAGCACTTGCTGCCACCGGCGACAACCCGCAAGCCAACTGGTTCTTGGACTCAGGCGCAACGTCGCATCTTATTAATTCTTTGGATAACATGTCTCTGTCCAACTCCTATCAAGGATCCGATGGAATTACAGTTGGAGACGGTCGTTCGGTAAATATTGCGCATACAGGGGCTGGTATTTTACCTACCCCGACTCGTAAGCTGCTTCTATCTCAAGTTCTTCATACTCCTCAATTACGCTATAATCTTTTATCCATTTCGCAATTAACCAAAGATAACAATATCTACGTATCGTTTAATCCTTCTGGCTTTGTTTTCAAGGATCTTACGACGAAGAAAGTGCTTCTACAAGGTCCGTGCACCAACGGTCTTTACCCAATTCGAACTAACCAAACTCTGGCACCGAACAAGGCTCTCTCGGCCACAAACACCTCTGACTGGCATTCAAGATTGGGTCATCCGCATCCCAAGACGCTCCACACTATTTCTTCTAATAATCCTCAACTTAAAATACCTTTAGAAATGACTGTTTGTAATTCTTGCAAAATGTCGAAGAGTCACAAAATTGCATTTCCTAAAACTGCTCATCGCTCTCGGTCTTTGTTGTTTTTAATTCATTCGGACATTTGGGGACCGGCACCGGTAACATCGGTGCAAGGTTTTCTTTACTACGCTCTTTTTATCGATGATTTCTCGCGTTTCACATGGATTTTTCCCATGAAAAATAAGTCTGAAGTTTTCGGTATTTTTTGCAATTTCAAAGCTCAAGTTGAGAACTACACATCTAAATCTATTAAAGTTTTTCGTTCAGATGGCGGAACGGAATTTGTAAACAAGCAGTTCAAGGATTTTCTTTTAATCAATGGTATTCAACATCAGGTTTCTTGTCCCTATACTCCGGAACAAAACGGAGTCGCCGAGCGTAAGCATCGACATCTAATTGAGACAACTCGAACCTTACTTCACACAGCATCCGTTTCTCTTGTTCACTGGCCTGAAGCAGTCATGACCTCAACTTACTTAATTAACAAAATGCCCTCTCCCGTGATGCGTTAGTTATCCCCTTTCGAAATTCTACACAATATTAAACCTGAGTATAATCATCTTCGGATCTTTGGGTGTGCGTGCTTTCCTCTCGCACCACCGCATTCCCATAACAAATTGCAGCCTAAATCCAATCTCTGTGTATTCTTAGGTTACTCGAACACTTACAAGGGCTACAAATGCCTTGATAAATCAACCAACAAAATCTTGATTTCTCGGCATACTACTTTTGACGAACATTCGTTTCCATTCAAGCAAAAATGCCCTCCAATCTCACCACCGATTGCTGATCCCTCTCCATATTTTCTAACACATGTCTCTGTTTCACACCCAACCACTAAAACTATTCAGCCCCAACCCCTCACGTCTTCCACCCGCAATCAGGACCTTCAGCCGGAACCTTCAATTCCCCATACATCTACACCACTCTCAATACCCAGCTCAACACCAAGCCCTCCTACCTCCACTCTTCCCCACCGGATGGTCACCAGGGCTCAAACTGGTCATCTTAAACCTCGGGTTCGTCTCAATTTATGTCACACTACTGCTTCCAATATGTTGACTGCCGCACCTACTAGCTTCACTGAAGCCAACAAATCTCCCGAATGGCGTCATGCCATGGCTTTAGAATTTCTTGCACTTCAACAACAAGGCACTAGGAGTCTTGTCTTGCCTCCGAAAGATGCTCCTATCTTGGGATGCAAATGGACGCATCGGTTAAAACTTAACTCCGACAACACAGTTGCCAAGCACAAAGCTCGGCTCGTAGCGCTAGGCAACCATCAGGAATACGGCTTTGATTACACAGAGACTTTTAGTCCCGTAGCAAAACTTCCTACGATTCGTATCTTACTAACACTCGCTTTACATAATGATTGGCATGTTAATCAACTCGACGTCGCTAACGCATTCCTTCACGGTAATCTTTTGGAGACCGTCTACATGTCCCAACCAAAAGGGTTCGAGGATACACTTCATCCGACTCATGTGTGCCGTCTACACAAGTCCATCTACGGACTTAAGCAAGCTCCGCGTCAATGGTACAATACGTTCACCTCATACCTTGTTTCTATTGGATTTCACCACAGCTCGACAGACAACTCTCTTCTTATATTCAAACAGCATTCCATTAAAGTTTACCTGCTTATATATGTCGATGACATATTAATGACCGGTAATGATCAAAATACAATTGATCATATTATCTCCCAACTCAATAGCAAATTCATCATGAAAAATCTCGATCAGGCAACTGAGTTCTTGGGCATCAAGATTTCCAGATCCGCTGATAAATTTTTTCTGTCTCAACAACATTATCTTTCTAACATTTTACAGTAAGCAGAATTAACCCAATGCAAGTCATTGGCAAATCCCTCTTACACCAAAATGCCGCAAGAATACCCGCCGGACTCTGTACTCTCCGACCCGAACACATACCGCAAAATTACAGGTTCTCTTCAGTATTTGACAATTACACGTCCTGACAATGCCTACAGTATAAATCAGTCATCGCAGCATATGCATCAGCCACTTCCGCAGCACACTTATTTACTCAAATGCCTCCTTCGTTATCTCAAAGGTACGCTTGACTACGGCTTACCAATTTCCAAATCTAATCTTTCTCTTCAATCCTTTTCTGATGCAGATTGGGCCGGTGACCCCGTCTCTCGTCGATCGACGTCAGGGTACTGTTCGTTTCTTGGTGATACGCTCATCACTTGGACAGTGAAAAAGCAACATATCGTAGCTCGATCCTCCACGGAGTCGGAATATAGAGCTCTCGCGGCACTGACTGCGGACGTCCTATGGCTTCGGCGACTCTTGCAAGATTTCGACATCCCTCAAACACAACCCACAAACATGTATTGCGACAACACATCGGCGATTGCTCTTGCCAACAATCCCGTTTTTCACGCCAGAACAAAACATATAGAAATAGATCAAAAATTTATACGCGATCACATTCACTCCAAACAGATTCGGCTTCTATCCATAAACACTACAGATCAAATTACAGACATATTTACTAAAGCTCTCTCTACGCCACGATTTCTGCTTCTCCGTAACAAACTCACTATATCTCCCGATCCATCAATTTGCAGGGCGGTATAAGAGAAATAATGCCATCTGTAATTAATTCTGTATTAAATGAGTTGTCATTCTTTCATTGGTCTTTATGTAATTACTTGTCTAGCTATTCTATATATAGAGCCCATTTGTAAACTGTAGACACATAATAAAATAATTCCTTTCTCTTATCTTCTTCCTGTTTGTGTCTTCTCCGCCTGTCACGGTTCTTCACGCGTGCATCATCTTCTCCAATGAGCTCCCATGACGACAACCTCTTCTTCCTCTTCAAACTTCAGGCTACCAAAATTCTTGTCTCAACTACTTTGTATTCTCTTTCTAATTAATGTCGTTAATACTATCTCCATAGTGATCCCATTGATAGGACCTCCTCATCTTTATCTTCTTTAAACCCAATTATTCCCATCATGACTTCTTCTTTTTCTCTTTCAAATGTTGTCGATAAATTCTCCTTTGAGCTCCCATCATGTCTTCCTCACAATCTCCAACGAGCTCACAAGTCGAGCTCGAGCTATATATACGTGATCAATTTGAGCTACAACTTGAGCCCAAGCCTTGCGATCGTGCTTGTTGAAGCAACAAAAGGGGATATGGTGAGATCCATTGCAACTTCCTCCTCATCATCGAGGGTTTTATTAAGTAGCTTATCAAAATACTACATTTTATAGATATTATTACTTATTAGTTAAATTTGAGTGGTATGCAAGAAAATCCTCCCATAAAATCATATACAAGATATTTACAATATCTACTTAACTTTAATAACTACCAAGTCGCAATAATTTGTAATTATATTTTTTGCATTATAGCCCACATTTAACTTCAAATTACAGCCAGGATCAGGTTGGGGCCATGACTCATTAAACAACTCCAACCTTGGGATTTTTATAAATTGCCAGTCATTTTTGCTGTAAAATAATCTTCCAACAACTTTTGCATATTCAACACAAGCTAAGAATATATATATTTTTGTCTTAAGGACAATCTGTCAACTAACTTGGTCAACTTTGACCAAATATTGCCAGCTCATTTTTTTATCCTAATCTCACCTTTCAATCAGTTAATAAGAACATAAAATAAGCTAAAGTAGATAAGATATGGCTCATAAAATTAATTTAATTAAATACAAATATTTGGTTATTTTCAAATATCACAAAAAAATAAAAAAATTGAAATTTAGGGTAAGTTTGTAATAGCTTTCACGTCATTTTATTTTTCAAATAATCAGAATTTTATTTGAATACTAGTTTGGAAGTTTTTTTCTTTATTCTTTTGTAACTCTTTCATGTTTAATGAAATTGGGCACAATTTTCCTAAATTTTCATTAAAAAAAAAAAAGAAATATTAGTTTAAGACTTCGTTTCAAATGATTTTTAAAATATTTTTTAAAATGGTTTTTAAATATATATATTTTTAAACTAAAAGAGTTTATGCTTAATGTAAAAGAAGCCTAAAATCTCGAAAGATAAAGCAGATCCTTACAGTTCAGTTGCTTCTCACTTCCAGATCCCGTTCCTTGTTTCCCCGCAAAGCAACCCCGTCGCAATCTCTACCATTTCCGGAAAGAAAGCATAGCTTACAAGGCCGAAGAAACCCTATCAAGTCCCCTCCTTCCATTCCGATGCCTTCTTTCCTGATTCCTTAATCGGACATTTCCCCCTTCCGAGATGCTGCAGAAGTTTGCTTTAGCCTTCAAGACCAAAACAATCGAGTTCTTCGCAGACGAGGAGGAGGAGGACGATGACGCCGCCGTCGATCTTGAAGCTGTGCCGGAGGAGGTCATTACAGGGCAACGCGTAGTTGTGCTTAAGCCCGACCCGCCGGCCCAACCCAATCCGGACGCTCTCGTGTCTTCACTGTTCACCGGCGTCTCCTCCTTCCGCGCCGCCTATCTCCAGCTCCAAACTGCCCATTCCCCTTTTGATCTTGAAGGTATCCGCGCCGCCGATTGCGCGGCGGTGTCTCATCTTCATCGGCTTTATGAGCTCAAGCGCGCCTTCTTTACGAACCCGCAAAGCCAAAACGCCAACCCTACTTTACCCCTTTCTGCCCACCTGGATGCCCAGGTACAGGAGAACCAGTGTCTCCTCCGCACCTTCGAGACCGTGGTTAATCGCATGCAAGCCGATATCGATCGGAAGGATGTGGAGTCCGCCGAGCTAAAGCAGCGGCTATTGGAGTCCGAGGCAGAGAATGACCGGCTTGAGCGGCGGCTCGAGCGTGCCTGCTGCCCGCCTGAGGAAAAGGTGGAGTCTTTGCTTACAGTGGGAGTATTCAATTCGGTGCTGAAGGACTCTTGTCGGGTGGCTCACCGCTTTGTTCGGGCACTTGTCGATTTGCTGAAGAACTCTGGATGGAATTTGGAGCTCGTTGCAAATTCTATATACCCTGATGTCTGCTATGCCAAGTCAGGGCACTGTCGGTATGCAATTCTCTCCTATATTTGTTTGGCGATGTTTGATTCCTTTGGTTTGGATGGTTATGGTTGCGAAGGGAATGGAATTTGTTCCAATTCTGAGGATTACGAGTTTCGAAGGAGGAATTCCTTAAGGAAATTCATTGAGCATTCGACCCTAGATCCATTGGAGCTGATTAATGGCGACCCCAATTCTGATTTTGCAAGATTTTGTGACAGTAAATATAAAAATATCATTAGTTCTGGATTGGAGTCCTCTCTTCTTGGGAATTCAGATCATTCCACATCCATTATAGGAAATATGAGGCTTTCAAACCCGTTGTATGAGTTGTTTGTGAACATGGCCAGCTCAATGTGGATGCTCCACAAGTTAGCATGGGCTTATGATCCGGCAGTGGAGATATTTCAAATAGGCCGTGGAGCGGATTTCTCCATGGTTTACATGGAAAGTGTTTGTCCAAAATCTTTTGATAAAAACTCGGTTTGCATGAATTCACGTCCAAAGGTTGGGTTTACAGTGGTTCCAGGATTTCGAGTGGGGAGGACAGTGATTCAGTGCTGGGTGTATCTAGATAGGATGAAGAAGATATTTTGATTTCTTATTGAACTGTAAATCAAAAATTAAAGGGCGTTCTTCTGTTGTATGATATCAAATACAGCAACTACATAGGATTGTAATAATTAGATGAAATTCTATATTCTTAATGCAAAGCACAAAAAAACACTTTTTTCAGTATCGATTCTCTTTTACTTGATTTGAGATTGAACAAAGAGAATGACCGGCAATTCTCTTTCCTTTATCTAGTATTTTGATCTTTGCACTGAATTCTATTCCTTAATTTGATAATGCGTGATATTGACTTGAGTTGATTTGATAAAGAGGCTCTTTTGCAACATCTTTCTTGTTTTCTTCAAAAGTTCACTCAATTTAACAAAGATGTTGGAGTTAGCTATACCATTACTGATATGATATGAGTTGCAAATTTTTTTGATTGAGCTTATTTGCTTTTTATATTTAGAGAATGCTCTTGAAAATCTAGTCGGAAGGAGTTAAACTGGCAACTTGCATTAAGCTAATGATTAGCCTATGCACGATCCTATCATTGAATGGATGATTTCTATTTTTAATATGTAAATAATCAAGATTAAGATACTGTACACATGTATTTCTTTTGTTGCAAAATCTTTTAACTAATTTCATTTATTTAAAATCTACATATCTATTGAATCTAGCTGGATATTTTTTACCAATATATAAGTTCAAAATTTTATTGCATTCTTTTTTATCCAAAAAAAAAAAAACTTTGTTTAATAAAAAAATTGAAATATATCACAATGTTTTTTGAGACACTTTGAACTTTCAAATTTTGCTAAGAGCATGGACTAGTTTTGAGGATAAATTCTTCAAAATATGGTATGATATGTTAATCTTGTGAAGAATGCCAACTGGATAGAGAAAAATTATTTGTGTTGATGATTGGAAAGGGATCCATGAACACTATTTTTTCTTTAATTCTATAATTGTTGTGTACTATAATATTCACGGTGATAGTGGTAGAGTTTATTGCCTTAGCGTTAAACGAAAAGCTTGCATGTAGTTAAATAAGTTGAAGCTTAACCTAAGAGACATGAATTTTTTAAGTGGAAAATTTAGGAAAGAGAAAAACCACCGACCCAACTTTATATTAAAATGATTGTACTTGTGCATCATAAATGATACTCTTCTTTGTTATATGTGAAAGCATTAATATAATATAGTAGACACGAATTGTGAGTAGTAGAAGTAATAGTTTTGAGATGCCTAAGATATTATTGGGCGACGAGGGATGATCAACTGGGTAAGAGTCCTAGCGACTATGGTGACGAGCGTTGGACATTGGTTTTTGGCTAACATTGATCTTTGGTTGTTGGTTGGTGTCAGATAATAATTGATAAGAAACGTTGGAGGTTGGGTGTTTTTCTTTGTTGATCTCTTATAGAAGTGGAAAACAAACAACAAGAAGGCTTGTGGTGGACATTTGTAGCATACATACATTAGAAATCCCACTTTGGTATGCGTAAGGCAACAATTGATGAGGGATGTTGAGCGGTCATCTTAGAAATTTTTTTTTATAAGTGAGGAGATTGGGTGGACAAGAAGATGGGTGTTGGACATCAGTGAGTGGAAGATGTCAGTCTTTGGTTGGTGTTAAGGTGACAGTTGATTGGAAATATCAATGGTTGAGCTATGTTGGGTGGTTTTACTAAGTCATTCTCTTTATAAAATGGCAAGCCAGACGATCTGGAAGGCTTCTTTCGGACGTTAGTGGCTAATAGTCACCGAACATCAATCTTTCCTGGTCAACTGGGTTTGGTTAATGAGGATCTTCGGAGCTTGGGAGATTTTAGTTGGTCTAACTCAATCGTTCTTGTTATAGGAGGGAAGATCAAATACTAGGAAATGTTTGTGTTGTGTTGGGATGGTTATCGAATGTAGTGTAACGGCCTAAACTCTTAACTATCGAGACTGTCCGCTTTGGCCTAATGGCCTCGTAGTTTGTTCAATTGGTATAACTTCGCAGGAGGTCACCTATCCTAGGATTGCTCCCGCATGAGCATGTTTTACTTTGGAGTTTTTTAACGAAATTTCAACCATTACATCAAAAGACACTGCAATGTTTAAGAGTTTAGCTTCTTTCTACTTAAGAAATTTCATACATTGGGCTTCATTATTTATAAGTGTCTAACATGAGGAACTGATGCAGAAATAGAAGGCTAGGTAAAATCAAATATTTTACTAACGTGATATACTTTTTTAGACTTCAAGGATTTGAGGTGTCTTTCAACTAAATGCTTGTTTTTGTTTAAGAAATGTTATTATTGTTATGTTAAAGCTTTCAATTTTCTTATTAAGTATTTTATTCATAAGATTTTTTTTTTTTTTAAAATAGCATGTTAATTAACAACTCCATAGGAATTTGCTTTTATCCAAATATTTATCGTCTCTAAAATAATTTGGGATAATCTTTGTGTGAACTTGTTATAACCTGAAATAAACTTTGAGATCTCGCACATAGCAAGAGTTGCGCCTGTAAGAGTCTCTATGACTGAGCTTGTTGTGGCTATCCAGAACAAAGAATTTTTCAATGAGTTGGCGCCCATAAGATTATGAGGCACCTCGGTAATCAGTCAAAGTACTAAGCATATCACTATGATCATTGCCATGATATTGAGGAGTATCGACACCTTCGGAGCTTGGTGGAAGACTTGATAACATTACGATAAACTTAAAATTTATGTTCTTGTTGATGCAGGAAAAAGGTTCATGAAGGTGCATATAAAGGAGACTTATAATGAACTAGTCCCGATGCAAGTGATTCATATTGCTAGGTGGTTACATTAGTTCGTGGAGGAGCTACAGAAGGGGCTTCTCACTGAACTAGCCTTAAACAACTTCAGTCAGGAGAGGTGAACTTGATGAGTAACTCAAGGGCATGTACTATTGAAATGCTTCTCATCATTCTCACTTAAGTTTATCAACTAACGAATGACAACTCATGTGGTGATGTTGTAGTGGTCACGACATTCATTATCAAATTGACATAGTCTTAATATACACAAGGAGCTCAGTGAATATTATCTTTAGAAGTGTTTTTAAGAAGATTAACTTGGGCGCTTCTCGCATAGAGCCAACTTTTGGGCCTTTCTTTAGCTTTTTTGAGGAGCGTAGAGAGACTGAAGTAGTGATTGCATTGCCAATCACTTAGATAGGAAGAAAAAGACAATTTATTGTCATGGTCGACTTCATCATAGTCGATGCAATGACTACTTATAATGCCATCTTAGGCTCACCATTATTAAACACATTTCATGTAGTTGTCTCTATATATCATGTTGCTATGAAATTCTCGGCAGGAGGTCATATAGTGACTATGAGGGGCGACTTGCTATAGTTAAGGGCATGTTATCTAATAGCATTGTGTAATGTGTAACAAGAAAGTTTTCAACTAGATGTCCATAGAAAATTTGGGTTGTAGATTGTTGAAGTTATTTATGAAGTGCCAATCTCTAAAAGAAATCAAAGTTATAGCTTCTGATAAGCACTACTTTTGATGAAGAAAGGAGAGCCGAGTTGATTGCAACTTTGAGGGCGACTACAAATGAATTTTCTTGGTTGATGAGATGCTGGGTGTAGATGTAAATGTTGCCTGCCACATGCTCAATATTGATAAGAAGATGAGGCTGATTCACAATGAAGTTTAAAAGCTTCTTGAGGTCAGATTCATCAAAGAAGTTTAATATCCATAATGGATTTCTAATATAGTCATGGTGCAAAAGTCGAATGACAAGTGACAAATGTGCGTCAACTTTACAAATCTGAACTCAGGCTGCCCTAAAGATAAATAATTTGTTGCTGCTTATTGATGCCTTAGTCGACTCTTCAGTCAACTACCCTATGATGAGCTTTTTGTATGCTTTTTTGGGGTATCATCAAATCAGAATGCATTTGATTTATTGCCAGAAGAAAACCTTTATTACAGATGATGGGTTATATTGCTATAACGCAATGTGCCTTGGTTTAAAAAATACGGATGCAACTTACCAAATGTTGATGGATTACATTTTTCAATATAAAATTGGCACAATGTTGAAATATATGTTGATGATCTTTGAAATAGTGGAAGAACTCTGTCAAATATAATTTTTAGGCAAGGATATTTTGGTCTAACACTCCGAAAAGATACATAAAATTTTCTTTAAAATGTCTTAAATACCATAACTTTGCACTGATGCAACTTCAGCCATCTAACAAGCTGCAGTCTATTTCATGTCCTCGGCCTTTCACTATCTAAGGCTTAAGATCTACTTGGCCCTTTCTATTCTGCTATGGGATTGAAGTTCATTTTAGTCATAATCGGTTCCTTCCCAAAATGGATTGAGGCAACGATGCTTACAAAAATTATTGTAGAAGTTGTTTGAAATTTTATTTCAACCAATATCATTTATCAGTATGATCTGCAAATGGTGATTATTACTGATAATGGAATATAGTTCTTATACGAGAAGATTAAAGAATTTTGTCAAAGCTAGTGAATTCAGCACAGGTTTGGCCTCAGTCTTCTATCTTATAATGGATGGGCAATTTAAAGCCACGAATAAGGTGACGTTGAATTTGCAGTAAAAGTTGAAGGGTGCCAAAAGCAAGCCAGTTGAATAACTATCCTCAATTCTCTGGGTGCTGAGGACGACTTCATCATCAGCGATTGGGCAAACATCTTTTGCACTCTCGCATGGAGTTGAGAGATAGAACTTCTTTGCCCATCTCTTTTGTTCACATTTTTATCAAAAATATGAATCCAAATAATTAGGCACTCGTCGAATAGATGAAAGACTCAGGGAACTCAGCCATGTTATAGAGATAATGTGTACAAAATGTCATCTTGATCCAAGTCAGCAGTGGAGGTTGAGCAACTTCAAAAAATGACTTAGATCAACAATGACAAGGTAGACTAACTTGATTATAAGGTTAGGGTGATCTCATCTCAAGATTAAGCTTAAAAGTATTTAAGCTACTCACTACAGGAGATCAAAAAAGCCCTTAGAAAGATGGACATTCAATACTTAGCAGTTGCCTATTCAAAAAATTTTAGGCATATTAAGGGAGAACAACATTTGACATTTATGAAGTTAAATTCTTGTACATTACAAGAGAAAAATTATCTTTAAAAGATTTTCTTTTTAAAGATTTACTTATAC